AGTATTCTGGTAGTAAGAAAATTGGTGGCTTCCTTTGCTTCAATAACTTCTGGGAGAGATTCATAACAGTTTAGTATCTTTCTGTCCAGTTCTTTCTTTGCTCTGGTTCATGTGAGCGCTGCAGCAGTTCAGCTCCGCCCCAAATCAAGTGATTCATCGAGTGATAAATTTAAGACCAGTGAGTCACAGACTTCCAAAAGTGAGTTTACATAAATATAAATCAGGAACATTTCCTTCCTTTTACTTAACAGACGATTCCAGAGGTGATTTTTATTGAACTTCCTCTGTTTGGTCAATGACATTTAGAAAAGAAAAAAAAAAAAAAACTCCCCGCAGTTAAAGTTAGTTTTATAACCTTGTCACCGTTTCTCTCCCGGTGGTGGCATTTCAAAGACTTTGTGCTTTGACTTTGAGGTTGAAATCCTGCAAGTGAGTCAGAACCTCTGCTTCGTTCGACTCTGTTCACAATAATTATTTCACAATTCTCTGCAGTATTTCTCCAGCTAAGCTTTTTTTTGTTCCTAGTCTGCAGTACTAAACCTCAAACCTTGGTCAGTTGAGTTTGAGCCGGGTGATGATCAGTGAAATAGCTGTCAGTCACGGGGTGTAAAGTGCAGTATGGAGTTTTCTAACGTCGAGAGGTTTTAATATTTGGATAGCTCAGGGTACTCAGAAAGATTCCCTCCAGCTTTTTAAAGAAAGGAAGCAAAGAAAGACTGGAAACGGGACATGTGGGAACCCCTGAGGTGTCTCAGGGTCAGGTGGTTGGCCATCCAGATTAAATTATGAGCAGAATAAATGAAACATCCAGATTAAATTATGAGCAGAATAATAAATGAACAGGTTTGGGAGCATGAAAAATCACTCAAGGCCTTCTGTAAAGTTTGAAAAAATATTCTTTTAAAAAATAAAACCAGGACAGCTGGTTACATTCACAAATAACCTTAGTGAGTAATAGGCAGCCAGGCTGTCACTAGTGCGCCTCCTGCTGGTCATCAGTGATCATTTTTACCTGCAGGAATGGAAATTGCATTCATCCAGGCTCCAGCATAAATGCTGTTTGCCAAACATCTGACCAGCGTGACATTTTGTTTCTGGATTCATGCAGCATGATAGTGATAAGCAGAGCTGGCTTTATAGACATAGTTTGGCTAACACACAGACACACACGCGCACGCACACGGACACACACTTTGTTGTCCCGTGGAGTTAGCACTCCAATGCAAGCTGCTGACAGAGAGGTTATAAACAGCACTCAGTGGAGCCAAACAAAAAGCAAAAAACAAACCTCCTAAGTTCAGCATTTATCAGCAAAATACTCAGTAAAAATAAGAGTTTTTGGTGGGTGTGTGTGTGGAGTGTGTGTGTGTCTGTGTGTGCAATTGAACAGCTGCCTCCATGGCTGTAGCTAACGATCCATGAAGTCAAACATCAATAAAATCCAATACACACAAATTAAGTGTCTTTTTAACACAAGGTAACAGTGGCTATTATTTAGCTAATGAGAGACACGCTCCGTCCAACGTATATGAATAATGGACCTCGTCTTTGTGTCTGAGAAGTTACCTGGACATCAGTGTGTGTCCGGTATTTGCAAAACAAAGTCATTCGTATCAATTCTTTTTTTAAATCTGAGAACATTTTCTGTGATCTAAGGAGATACTTTCTGGTCCTTTTTTGTGTACTTTTTATACTGTTGTGAGATTTACTGGAGAAAATATGGACACTACACATATCAGTTTGTGTGAATCAGTTTTTTAAAGTTGTTGTCAAATATTTGTCCAACTGTCATGTCTGTCTGTTTCCTTTTCCTCTTGTCTTTGTGGGGTTATCTGTGGGACCACACTCACCTGTTGGTAATTAGCTTCCCTTGTGTCACCTGGTGCTCCCTGTGTGTATATACAGTATATACCCGTCTCCCTCACTCTGTCGTGGTTGGATCATTGTATCTGTTCCTGTGCTCAGCGTAGTGTGTCCTTAGAGTTCTTAGTTTGTACTTAGTAGTTTATTCCTGGTCTGGTTTATGCCTTGTTCCTGGTCTTGTGAAGAAGTGAGTTTTTTGTTGTTTTGGCCTTGCACTTTGAAAATAAAACTACCTGCACCAGAAAGAGTCTCACAGGTACTGCATTTGGGTCCTGCCTGCTTCCTGCGATGTTTGATTTGCTTCCTGCGATGCCCTCACGTGACACCATCAGTTTGATGTGAGTGATGATTGATGATGAGTCAAAGAACCTCTGCACTCCCCAGGACTAAGGTTGTCATTTCCAACTCTCCTCTTTTCTATGTTTTCCAACTTTAAAGTCAAATGTTTTTAAAGTCGTTTCTAACACGGCCAATCAGCCAACACTGCCCTTTCTGTTCCATTGTAAATAGCAAAGGTTGTTAGAAAAACAGTGTTGTATCTTTGAGTGTATCACAACACCCGACGCTCCTATTGGTTTTTCCGCGGACATTTTGAACGCGTCCACCTCTGGCGTACATTACACAGTGAGTGTGTTTGGTGACTGTGTGAAACAGTTACTTTTATATTTAATGAATGAAGATAAGGCGAGGAAATGTTGTAGTCTTCACATCCCCCTGGGGTCTGAGTGCACTTCCTTCTGTCTGTTATTTCACTCGCTCGCTTGTGTTTGTGTGTGATTAGAGGCTTTAGTGTGTGTGTGTGTGTGTGCAGGCAGAAAAAAGCGCGTCCTGAAAAGTTTAATCATTTGTTTAGAGGGGTTTGGGAGCGGGGTTTTGAGAAGCATATGGCACCGTCTACAAGGAGTGTTTTGATATTGGTGCTGTGTCAAAATGGGCCAAGACTGATTATGAATGCATGCAGCAGGGTCAGAAATTAGCAGAAGGTTGGAGGGAAGACACCCTTGAAATATCTGAATTTGCCCTTTAAATTAACAACTGGATTTTTATCCAAAGCTTTAAAAAAAGATGAGTTTTGGCTTTTGCACCACACACACTTATTTAGTGTTTGATAAATGCATGCTAAATTATGAGCTAAAATATCAACACAATAATTATGACCTTATGACCAAAACACAATACTTGAGTGCAGTGCATGTTGAGGATTGACTATAACTATAAACATAATTAAATATTAAATTTCAATTTTCTAAAAAAAAAAAAAATCAAGATTGATCAGATTGTAGCAACCTGTAGAATTAGTTAACCGAAAACAATCATTTAAATACATAGTTAAAGGTACATTGGTAGTTTAAAAATAACTAAATCTCTACATAATTAGGCAAGTATTGAAATAAACTCTAACAAATTGAAATAAAGCTAACCAAAAGTTAGCCGAAGGTAGCTCCATGTTACAAAATATAGATAAAAAACATGTCAAAATAAAGAAGTTCATTCCCTGACCAACATTCACACCTTCTGACAGACCTGGGGTCTTTTGGAGCAGTTATCGTGCCGTAGTTCTCCCTCTGGTGGCTTCCTTTTTCTGATTACGAGGCGTTTCCTCTGTTATTATCTCTGCTCTCGGCCTGATTAACTTTGCATTGTCACTAATCAAAGCTATGCTGAGCTGCTGTGAAAAACAACTGTCCCCGAGCTCAGGGCCAGATTTAGCTTTGTTGCTAATTTCAAACAGTTCCTGCCAACTTGGTCTTGGAAAGATAAACACTATTTATGGAACTCCAATAATTCAACCCAAACTCTTCTTGGACTTTTTGTTTTGTCACCAACAAATTTATCGTGTCCCTTCAATTCTATGTGATACTCAGTTCCTACCTTTTTCTGATGCTAGTTAGCATGCTAACATGCTGGCTATTCATGAAAACATCCTTAGGAAGTGCATGGTTGTTTCCTGTTTGTTTTTATCTACAAGTGAATCTTGAATTTAAAATTCATAACTTTCAGTTGCCCAAACTGTTTACAACACCTTTTTTACTGTTCTTTAAAAAAATATATTCCTGTTGTGATTTCGGTTGCTCATTGCTAGTTAATGCTAAGAGGATTTGTCAGCTCAAGCACAAAAACTTTGAAGTAACAAAAAAAGAACTGCTTCAGTTTCACATTCTGTGCAGTCCTGAGATTAACCCATCACAATTTGTGGGAAAAAAAAAAAAAAACTCAGAGTGGCCATACCCATCACAATTTGTGGGAAAAAAAAATAAATAAAAACTCAGTGGCCACATTATTAGGTACACCTTGCCTATACTGAAATAAGCTGCTCTTTTGTCTAAGAACCACCTTTTATTTTTAATCAGAAATGCCTCATACATATTATGACCTTCTGTCTTTATTTTCTCTTCAGCAACATGTTTTCCAACACCCAAATATCACAGTTTTGAATGTTGACATTCATACCTCCACTGGCGTCACCCTAATTCTTCCCACCTTCCTGTCAGCTGTGGTGTGTGATCCACGCACTGTCATCTGTCACAAACCAATTGCCATGCGTTAGTCACTGCTTATTCGTTTAGGCTTTTTTTACAGCCAAACTCTTTGACGTCCTTGGTGTAAAAAAAAAAAAATCTACTGATTTGAAACCCTTAGGTTTTGTGCTCGTCAGCGTTCAAGCTGTGAATTCATGCAAAGTTCCCACATCAAAACACAATATTTACAGCGTGAAGGAGATGAAACCGCATGAATATTTGAAGAGATTTACACCATGAGATCTGTCAATTTTTCTGTGTAGCTGTGCAACTTTGACATTCACTCAGAGCTTAAAAGAGCAAGTAGCCCCTTTAAAAATCAGTCAGCCTGACAAGCAGGTTAGAAAAAAACGTATCATGTCGCCATCAAAAATTCATAAAAGATCCATTTTTTTCCCAGTAACTTTAGATAAAAAACGCTGGTAAATTACAGACGTGGTAGATAAAAAACGCTGGTAAATTACAGACACAGAAGTGATCGTGCAGACGGATGCTGCCACGTTGTTGATTTTATTGTTGAGATTGATGCCGTGCTGCTGCAGGTGACATGAATAAACCAATCTGTTTTTACTGTCGTCTCACTGTCGTCTTCTGTTTTGTTGGTTTTTTCTTCCACAGAACTTCCGTATGGCTGGGAGAAAATCGATGACCCCATTTACGGCAGCTACTACGTGGAGTAAGTCTGGTGCATTTTTAATATGTTATGACCTGTTTTTCGATTTCTCAGCGTAACGCCACCCGCTACACCCCACTCCCACCCACCCTCCGGTGCTGTATTAATCATATTTATGAGGAACAGACTGGCACCGCAGACAGGAAGCATTGGCTCGACTTGTCTGGCTGCCGACACCTCACTGTTTGTTCACAGCAACAGTGATAAGGAATGTTCCTCTGCATATGGAACTTTGTTACCATTCCACAGTGTAACTGTTTTCTTTACACGTAAAAGTGAGAAAAAGCTTTTTAACGACTGCCATTTGGAGTATTGTCACAAAAGTTTGAAAGAAAAAAACAACAAAAAACATCACAAAAAAAAAAAAAACACATTAGACATTTGTCACATTTCCCAAATCAGGTTAATTTCTTAACTACTGCTTAAATTCCAGTTGGATTTTTAGCAAAACTAACTTTTCTACCAACTCCTGACTACCATATTTCCCAGACTGTAAGTCAATATTTCATCTTTTGGCTGAGTTTGTGACTTATATATTAAAATGTATAATTTAACGTTTGTTATTTTAGCTGTTTGTTATACTCGCTAGATGGCACTGGTGCGACTTATACTCCGGAGCGGCTTATATATGTTTTTTTTTTTCATTCTTCATTTTGCATAAATACTTATACTTGTGTATTTTTTTATTAATTTGTTAATAATTCTGCTACCCAGGTGACAGCAGTATCTCTCGAATCAAGTTAATTTTATTTGTATAGTCCAAATTCACAGAACACATTGTGTGTGTTCAGACCTTACAGTTTTTACCTTTAATTAAAGTTAAGATAAAGTTCTATCACATTGGGGGAACATGGAGGAATGTATACACACAGTCAATATTATATTGTGTTTATCTAAACAATACAAAGAGTTAAATTTAAAACCAAATCTAATCACATACTTAGCAAGTGTTTTGGCAGCGGTGGGGAGACAGAACTCCTCTAAACTTCCTTTAAACAGGAAGTTCCTGTGTATCCTTCCTTTAATCAGGGCGTTTCACCAGATGCCCTAATTATTAGCAAATGAAAAGACGGTTCTCTAGCTGGTTGAGTCAACGCTCTTTATGTTGGTGAAGACCTCGATGTTATGTTCCAAACTCCCAGTTTCATAATAAAATATGTCTACAGCTCATCCCTTTTATTCCTTTCTTTAATCACCGTCTCTTTTGTGCTAAAAGAGAAAATTCACAAAGACCTTGTTTGTACCTCAATCACTGCAGAAACTGTACAGTAATGTGTAGTACTGTAGTACTGTAGTTTTTGGAGTTTCTTTCCACCGTGGACTGCGTTTGTTCCAGACAATTCCCAAAGATCAGTGATGATAAAACATTATATATATTTTTAATTTATTACATATTCAGTATGATAGAAATATATGATATTATGCACTTTCATTTGTGTTCTTGGTCATTTTTCAAGGTTTTTCAATGTTTCAATGGGTTTTTTTTGATTGATGGTTTTCCAAAATAAAACACTTTTTGGTCATTTTCATTTTTAAAAAGTAAAAATAAAACTTTTTTTTCTGTGTCCTGGTGCCAAAACATCTTTGGCCAAGTAGTGGTCCCCAGCCCGCAGGTTGGGGAGCCCTGGTCTTACATAATTATTTCATACTATTTGTATATTATTTGTAACAATATATGTGAGTGAGCCAGTGATTCTGATTTGTTTTGTGGTCACATAAAATTTCCCAGATTTTAAAGGTGCAACTGTACAGAAATATCACCGAGCTGTTTTATAATTAAGAGTGTGAGACAGTGTGAGGGTGTCTGTGAAGGGTAAGGAGAGAAGTGAGAGGAGGAGATGGTGGTGCTGGGTGTGTGTGTGTGTGTGTGTGTGTGTGTGTGCAGGTGTGTATTTTTGTTCTTGTGTGTGCGTAGCAACACACCACGCTCCCTCCGAGAGCCAGGGGAAGTTTGTACTGACGACTAATTATTTCAAGCAGACAAATTACAGTATTTGTAGTGGTCGACTCTCTTCCCTCTCACAAACTAAATTAAGAGTGACGTGGGACGTTAGGGGAAGTCGGTGCTTCGTGTGTTTGGTTTTCCTTCCAATCAAGTCCCACATAATTTGGTCTAGAAGTTTTGAGGGGGAAAAAACATTTACTTTTCTTCTGAGCTAAACTCAGGACCGTCCACACCATTGGTTGTTTCTGTATCTGTCTACATGGTGGATGAAGACGGCTTGAATCTCAAACTGTTTTCTGCACATCTCCACAGCCATATAAACAGAAGAACGCAGTTTGAGAACCCAGTCCTTGAGGCCAAGAGGAGACTTGAGCAGCAGCAGCAGATGCAAAGCCAGGGTCTGTCCTCACTGCCCCTTCCCACCATCTACAGAGGTAAGAAGACCACTCCGTTCTTTAACCAGAAAAACTGAGTTTCTTGAATTACCAGTTTGAGATTCGTGTTAGTTGTAGATACTTCTCACTGCTACTGTGTCAATAATTAATGATTTTCTTTTCATCTTTTGTTCCTGTTTAAGTCTTATTAGATCAATTAAAGTTATTATTGAACAAAAGTAAAAAAAAAACATGTATTATTGAACAAAAGTAAAAAAAAAAACATTGTGAATGGATTATAATAACTATAATTTATCATAATTAATGGACAAAAATACAAATTTCGTCCTAAGTTTATTTGCAGTCTAAAGCTGCTTATTCCAGTGCTTTAGATGTTGCTTGATATGACACAGAGCCCTGATTTCATTTGGAACATGAACCTGAAATAATTTTGATATTTTTCTTTCTAAGTAAACCCTTAAAATGCCACAGTAACAGACCAATTCATTGAGTCCTGAACAGCTTCAGATTCAGCTGTCCTTTTGAAACTTTTCATTTGTGTTTACAGCCAGTCTTAGTCCATGTGTCCTCACACTTATTCACACTAACAGTCATTTAAAGTCTCTGCACTCATCCTCTGCCTGACACTGACCAGTATTCTCAGAGTTAGCCTCCTGCTGCTTCAGAACTCTGTGGTGTTTGCTGGAGAAACTTTGTTGTGTTGCAGACACACACACACACACACACACACGGTCCTCCTACATAAAGGCAGGGCTCTGGTAATAATACACTACATGTTGGTTCCATAAATACAGAGTGAACACGTAGGTTGGATGTGATTCAGTGTTTTGTGTAATGGCTGTGTTTGTTCCAGTGTTTGCTCTGCCACGGCTTCACCAGGAGGATGTATGGACGGAAACCCAAATAACACTCTGTGGACGGGAGCTTTGTTTCCGCAGTAACGTCCTGTAGTTGTCCATCGCTCAGGGCCTGTCTCCCTGGTTACACTCTCTCTCTCTCTTTCTCTCTCCTGTCCCTTTCTCCTTTTCCTCGTCTTCCCTCTCCTTCCAAACATTAATACCAGTGGAGGATGCCAACCCCTGTGCCACCCACCCCAGACCCCCCCTAATGCAGGTCAACTCAGGCCTCGTCGAAGTCCCTCACTCACCAGTCCTGGATCGCACAGTCGCTGGGTTTGCTACTCCCTCTTCCGCCAGCGTCTCCCCTCTTCGGCACGTTTTGGCTCAGCGGCCACTTAAACCCAGCGCCTGCACTGGGGTTCTAGAGCCGCTTGTCTGTAGCCCCCTATCCTTATGGCACTGTGTCAGTAAGTAGGCCAAAAGAGGACGCAAAAGTTAAACTTCCTGTCTCTGCCGTGGCTGCTTGCACTCATTCCTCCTACAGTGAGCATGCTAGCTTGTACCCCCGGATATCGTCAAGGCAGTCGAAGGATTTTGTTGCTTACGACATATCTAAAGGACCGGCAAAGCAGGCGTGGAGTATAATCGCTCAGTCTGTCTGAACTAGTGATGGCAGCTCATCCACAAGGCCTTTACCAAGGTCTAGAGCAGGGGTCACCGACATAGTGCCCTTGGGCAGCAGGTAGCTATTTTACTTTGTACCCTTGAAGTATCTCCCCATTTCAAAGAGGTTGGCGACCCCTGGTCTAGAGGCTTTGTTGGAGCAGATCTTACGTCTTCCTTCTTCGCAAGCTTCCAAGGTCGTCCTCCTGCAGAAATCTCTCTCCAATTCTTCTCAAGTAAATTCAGTTGGAACTATTTCCTCACTGACAGTGAGGCTCAGACGGTACCTGGACCACTGATACTCTTTCAAACCCGTCCAGATCCCTGCAAAGGAGGACAGTTCTTTTTTTTCATACAACCCCAACAATGTCTAAGATTTTAGGTGACACAGTAAAATCCTGCAAGTTCTCCTGAAGCTTCAGCCTGAGAGTTCCCCAGAAACCTGCAGACATCTGGAGGCTTTGCTCCCAACCCTGTTGAGTTCATTATTTCTATATGATCAGTGACGTTTATCCAGTTTTTGTTTGTTTGTTTTAATTACAGAGAAGGCGTTGTTCACGCGGGACCCCACTCAGCTGAAAGGCAGTTTCTTGTCCACATCACTCCAAAAGAGCAACATGGGCTTTGGCTTCACTATTATCGGAGGCGACGAACCTGATGAGTTCCTCCAGGTCAAGAGTGTGATTCCCGATGGGCCGGCTGCAGCTGATGGGAAGATGGCTACAGGTGAGAGACGTCATGTTAATGTTGCATCCACTCCCAGAAACGAGACAGCCTTCCATGGGTATTGATTTTCAACCTCAAGGTCTCTTGAGATTCAAGGCAGGTACTTTATATAACGTTGTTGAGAACAGAGTGAATAAAGAGACATTTCCACAGCGACCCTCACTCCCCTCTGAGCAGCCACAACTTAAAGAACAGTGTTTTGCAGAAGAATTAATGATTTCATGTATTGCAAATAATTGTGTCGTGACTCATTAACGCAGTAAAAACAAGTATAGAAATAAACCATGCATGTCAACAGCCTTTTTTTTTTTTTCCCCAGTTAAAATTCACCATAAAAGTATAATTAATACATAGAACAGTGTGCTGTGGCTAAAAGGGTTTTGACAATCATCATAATTACCCAATTTCCAGCAGACAAAATTACAGGTATGGAAGACATAATGCAGACAGACAAGACATGCATTTATTAAAAACATAATGTATATATAAATATATAATTGTGTCAGACATTTAATTTATGGATATATCTTCTGCAGCTTAATCCTTTTCACGGTGCTAAGGGAGCTGGAGCAATCCCATCAGACATCACTGCGAGGGATGGGTCACATAGAAAAGAAAAGAAACCCATTAAAATACACACTCACATATGATCAGTTCTTAGTGAAAAATTAGGCCTAACACCCAGTCTTTCTGAACTATGAGAAGAAAACCTGGGTTATGAGACGGGGCTCAACCAATGTCAACGTTTAGAATTTAATTTAAAAACATAAAGAGACTCATGTTCAAGCAGACGCAAGTGCATTGGATTCTTGGGGTTTTCAATTATTTTATTAATCTCCAAAAGTGTGTCCAAAAGTCCCAAGAGATTAATAGATATAATTAATAAAAAAATGTATTAATTAAAATATTTTAATTATTAAAATATTTTAATTAAAATTTTTAAAAAATTAAAAAAAAGAAAACAAGCAGGTGACCGCTGTCTTAGTGGATACATCACAGGTTACTAACATTGATGAATTGCAAAAAAAAAAGGCTGCAAAGAATCTTACAAAACAACAACCACATGGTTCATTCAAGCTTATATGTGTCAGCCTTTGCCGAGGGATAAATGTAAATGTGCCTTTAAACCATTCATATATATATATACATATATATACATGCCTACATACATGCATACATTACAGATCTTACACCTGCTACAGGCAGGTGTATCTTGCTACACTTGTGTCCTAATGCATGTACGGCCGCTGCAGAGCTTGGTTCTCTCATTAATCATCAAAGGTGAATCTTTTGGTTCTGGCCTCCGGGGGTTCGACTGCAGTGAAGAATATACATGAGCCGCTCCAGTAAGAGTCAGGGGAATAGAAGGAGCAGCAGGTTTGGTCACAGCGATCAACATGCAGTGTCGTTTGAACGTGCGAGCGCCGCAGTGGAAAAACAGAGGTTATATATGGTCATTCATCAGACATCAGAGGAGCTGGAATCCTTCCCTAAAAATAGGCCGTCGTCCGTTCCATGACCTTGTACTTGTGTCAACAGGCTCTCCTTCAGAACATTGGGTCATAAATGATTTTATGTTTTCATGTAAAAAATTAAAAGGGAGAGGATTGTAATCACCCGGGGTCGTCCATCTGTCCGATCTTTCAAATTGGTGAATGGAACATTCCTGGAACACGGAGTCAAATGTGTCTCTGTGGCATTGATCATTTAAGGAATTAAGCTGTTCACAAGGGATGCAGTGATTGATATTTTTCCTATACGTTACCACTACCGAGCTTTGCATAATGGGTAATGGCCAATGATATTTTTCCTATACGTTACCACTACTTGAGCTTTGCATATTGGCCATTACCTGATACTTAATACCGATCTGATACCATTGACTCAACCTGTACCTCTGGCAGTGACTGAAGGCATCAGGCTTGACCTAAACATTAAATGAATGTGGACCATTGGAAAATGTGGAACAGCATTTAAAATAAACAGGACTCTTCTTTATCAACATTTAGTGCAAATGAGAAAATCAAAAATTGCCACAGGGTTCCAGGGGAGCTGCTCATATCCGAAGGAAGTACAGGTTTTCCATTGTAGTTTTAAAGTACTTCTAAGGACAGACAAGGACGTTCTTTTTCACTTTATACTAAGTTAACAAGGCTAACAAAGGCGGCTGCATAAATTTCCAAGTAAATCCTTAGAAAAGTGAGCCTACAGCTAATTTCCTTTTAGGTTTAACAGCAAAGTATAACATTTACAATTTCACCACTTTGTAAAAATCACTGCAGTGCTTGAAGTACTTTAAAGTGTACATTTTTTGGTCAATTTTATCCAAGCAGCATACCTAAATCAAACACTCTAACTCTACTAGCATCGTCCCAGCTGTTCTTCGTGGTAGACGGTCGGACTGCAGCTAACCTTGGCTAACACTGACATAAAATGTTTCACTTATACAGTTTACTAACAAACAAATCTGACTGACATCATTCTGTAAGGCTTTAATGAGGTTTTCAGGACAGAAAAAGGGAACTTTCTTTACTTTAGCTTGCGCTAATAAGCTAGGACATAATGCTACTGGAATTACCAAGTTAAAGCCTGATTCAGATAGCCTGGGGCTAATTTCCACTAATGTTTATTGGCCATAACATTAGCTTGTTTTAAGCTTGTGCTCTTGTCCATGTGAGCCAGTTTGAATCTGCTGTTATCTGGAGACAAATAATGAATTAGTTTGTCCCTGGGGGAGGGCTGAGGAAGAGTTGATTATTGAAGCTGGAAATGTAGTGAGTGAAGTGTTAAGGTCAGAGTGATTTAGAATCTACGCTACACCTGCTGAAGCTGGTTGTTGTCTGTGTATTTCATTTAAATTCTTACCTAAGACCATGGCTGTGTTTGTATTAAGGAGTGTTTTTACATAAAGTACAAATAAAAATACTCCATGTATTAAAGCAAAGGTATTTTAGCAGTGTTTTGTGAAACTGACAGCGATGAGAAATGGTGGTTTGAGCAGGAAATCATCAGGAAAAACAGTTCTGTGAGTTATAGTTCCCTATATTAAGAGAAATGTTATGGACTTTGCTGGAAAAACAGTTCTGTGAGTTATAGTTCTCTGTATTAAGAGGAATGTTATAGACTTTGCTTAAGGTTTTATTTTATAAAAAAAAAACTGTCTTCCAGTTCGGTGGTAACAGTCGGTTCTGTCTCATTAAATGGTGTTTACTCAAAGTTCTGACATTTTACAGGAATGATTTTTAGATGCAGACAAGTGTTTGCCTATGCACTGTTTGTTTCATGTCCTCACAGTTCGCACAATCGAACAACTTACTGTGATGAGTCATGAGTGGAAAACAATGGAAACAGCTTGAGATCCAATTATCCAAAATACCAGGAGCCATCTGTTTGAAGATATTGCTGTTGAGCTCCTAACAAATAATTTCCGTAAATGCTGGCAACCGGACAAACAAAACGCCTTTTCATCTCCATGTTTTCACTGCTCAAAGAATCAGAACCTGGTTAGTACCAGGAACGAGACAATGTGGCTCTCAATCTGTTTAATATCTACAAATATTATTTTAATTTAATTTATTTCACTTTTATTCTCAGGTATTTGCCAGGAGACTTACTTTTGTTTTGCTCTAGCGCCCCCGGCCAACGCTGATTGCGAGACATGGTATATGTGATTGATAGAAGGTTCTCTTTAAAGCCTGACTTTAGAATTGCTTTGCCAAGTTGTTGTTGTTTGTGGGTTTTGTTTTTGTTTGTTTTTTCAAAATTCAGGCTGATTTAATGACATTTTTTGTGCAACTTATTTTTCCCCTGTATTTTTTCCTGAACAGCTCCATCTAAGTTATTTCCAGCTAAAGTTTCTATAATTTTGCTTCCTTGTGACTCAACTTTAGCTTCTGTTGGGCATATTTTACCAAATGTGTTTTTCTGTTGACAACTTCGGCAATTCTTTGTTGCTGCAGGAATAACATATCGTTTCCTATCATCTTTTTATTACCCTCTGATTAATGGTACCAGTTGTAGTGTAAAAAAATGATTTTGTTGAGGTTTTTTTTTTTTAAAGATTTTCTTTAGCCAACTTTTAGTCGTTTTCTTGGCTAACTTTTAGTCATCTATTATTCACCGATGGATATTTGCACAAAGGAATGATGTTGTTGGAGATCCACAAATTTCTGGGGTCCATCATCGTTTTGAAAACGTAGCTTTACCTAATATACGAGGCCAATCAGTTTGCACTGTTTATTTAAAACATCAAGGGCAGGAAGTGATTGTTCAGCTGTGGGCAGGCCTGGTAGATGTTACATTGTTCTGTCACTGTATAAAAAAATGTGGGAAAAAAAACCTTAATAGTGTCTGTCACTCTCTCTGTCTCTTTTTCTATTTCCTGTCTGGTCATAAAGCTTAGGATATATGGTCCTGGCACGGTTGCTCTGAGGTCAGGGCCCCATCATTTGTTTTCTGCCAGCGTGCTGCTCAACTATTGATTTCGACACCGATGCTCAAGGCAAATGTCGGCTGCATTTACCCAGATTAATTAAAAGTTCTTTCACGTCACGGTGCCTTGAGATGTGAGCTCAAACTCTGTCAACATCAGCAGAGCGTAAAGAACGTAGAAGGAACCGTCTACAGTCGAAGAAACTGTTAGGAAACGGGAGAAGAGGAAGAATTCTAGCAGTTTTTACGTCAGCTGCTGTAATTTGGCCTCATTGACTGTTAACCAGGAAATCAATTTAAATAGCCAATCAGTCAGTACACCAACATGAGCATGTTAGTCACTCTATTTGATTCTTTCTACCACACTTCATCACTTTCTATTATTGCATGTTGGATATTTTAGCTATTTTTAACATGAGATGCTAGCTTCATTTTGTGCGTGTGATGTCATTTCATGTTAAACAGACTTACGTTGGCGTTCCGTTACTATGGTGCGACGTAACTCAGTTTTCACCTATGTCACAACTCTAACGCTAACACCGTGGTAACATAATAATTTAGGACATAAAAAACATCAAAAGAGTCTGACTAAGCCATAGTGACGGATAAATGGTTCCCAAAAAAACAACACAAATGAAAGAAAATGAAGGTAGCACAATCCAATGTACAACCAGCGAATGTAAACAAAGCCGTCGTCTGCATATTGTATGACGTATTTTTCCACACTGCTCTCCAGCTAGTTCCCATGCAAAATTTGTTTTAATCCCAAATCGGAATGAGGGAATGTTGGTATGTTAGTTGATTCAATACAATATGATACAAGATACAGACATTTTTAATGTAATTTAAATAACAGGACAGGCAAGGGTGCGCTCCACATTACACTATGCTAACAATGCTAGCACATGTTTTTGCTTCAACTTTAAGGCAAAGGCCTAAAAGGCAGTTAGCCTGTGGCTAATGTTGATGGGAAACTTCACCACCTTGTAAGTTGCATGTTGTACATTATGTTTTGCGTAGAGAGTTTTTGTGCGTATTGTGTCGTTTCAAGGGCAGATGATAACACTGTGTGATTACAGCTATAGCTATCAAAGCAAGCTTCCTGGTCAAAGCCCTGGTTGGCAATCATGGAGTATTAGCAGTGCATGGAACGATTCAACTGTGAGCTTAAATAGTCTCCTGTACACAATTTAAGCACAGAGAACAGGTTGGAGCTTTGTCACATCAAAGGCCAATCACAGAAGCACACGCTTTGCCTAATAATCATCAAGGATCTTTGTTACTCACACACACACACACTCACTCCGTCCCCCTCCAGCCACCTCTCTCCAAAGAGCACAGCAATTATGCCTGCAATTACAAAATAATTGTTTTTCATTATCAACCCAGGTAATGCCGTTTGTCAGACTTTCATGCGGCTTGTGACTTGTTGTTCCCATTTGCTCAGTGCATTTAAAGCTGCACGGTGTGTGCACAGCAGACCGCCACACTCTATATTTAGTCATCTGGCAAAGACAAAGCCGAGTCGTAATTTGGAGCCTTTTTTGTGCAGGAAACATTTAAATGTCAAATGAGTTTTATCTACAGGGCCACATATTGGGGTGTTGGCAGATAGAAGCATTTGGTACACTGAAAGGCAAACTGTTTTATATTTGAACGGCCGATAAGGAATTATCTGTGGTAATATTTATCTGCAGAAATAGTTTATAGCTGTGAGGGGGAAACCAAAGAGAGGCACAGCAGATGTACAGCCCCGTCGACTGAGATCTGTCCTGATATAAACTGCAGTACTGCAGCCGCTCCACCAACTTAATATCTGCCGTTACTCTACTGCAAGGGTCAAGCATTTTCCTCAGGTTTATTATCCGTATTCTCGTAAACATGACTCATTACTACAGTACTTCCTGTTACAAATACTCCTTACGGTGTTTTTGTCAGCATTTGTGGATGCATATTTTCAACTTGTGAAAACCAGTCATAATCTTTACTCACACAAAAGTAAAACCAGCCCAACGAACCGTCCAATCCAGCCCACGACTGGATTTAACAACCACAACTCTGACTTAAATCACTATCAGTAATACACACCATATATGACTACAGTACATTTAAAAAGAGAAAAGATTTTTACTTCATTTTATTTGAGTGCCCAGCCCCAAAGGTGTCTGTCCTGAGAAATTCTGGCCGTCCCACAAATATAGTTGCTGCTCAAAATAGATGGTTCTAGATGTAAATCAACCAAGGTGTCCGCTCCGTTACTGCCGTCCCAATCCTGGCATAACTTTCAAGCGTTGAGCTTGTTGGCTTGCTGTTCAAGTATCAACCTTGTGATAAAAGCGTTGCTGGTTCAATGCCCAGCCTGTTCATATTTGTGTAGTGATGAGCAGACACCCAAAGACACACCAGTGCTCCTGCTTCATGGATGGGTTAAATCACTGGTTCCCAACCTTTTTTTGGCTCGTGACCCTGTGACATCACAAATTCCTAGTGACCCTGGAGACTTTTTCTTTTCTAGAATCTAGAATTTTGATTTTATTTGTTATACTTTGTTGCCAATAAAGAGCAGCCAGTTTAGTACACAATGTACTCAAAGGAACTCAAGTAGCTGTCACTTCTTCCGTCACTTGATGGCAGCCGTCAATCAAGATATGCCAGCTCGGATATTTTTATAGGCTGTATTTGTATTTGAACTTCATTTGTATTCATGGAAGTGAAAGAATCCAGTTGTTTAGGATGTTGTGTTTTTAAATTTTGGGAAAGTGAGACGACTATTTTATATCCCCAGGACTTTGTGGAACTGTTTTCCTCATAATAGCAAATGTCCTATCCTAGCATTGATTGTTATCTTTGTGTGCTAGGGTTTACTGAAACCAGAGGACATGGTTTATAATGTTGTACTGTAAACTGTAATCTAGGGTTTACTGAAACCAGAGGACATGCTTTTATAATGTTGTAAACTGTAAAGTAGGACGATTGTCCATAAAACTTACTTTAAATTGAGGGTTTTTGCAGTTGAGCTCCCAGTAGTTTTTGTAGTGTTGCCCCCTGGTGGTTCACTGATATCCCAACGTACATTTCCTTCCACTTTTTGCAGGATGTCCACACACTGTACTGAAATCTCTGTGAGCAGTAAAGACATAATCTGATACTTGGAAGTTTTACACCTAACCCCCGTGTTTCCCTCTGTGTTTGCAGGAGACGTCATCGTCTACATCAATGATGTGTGCGTCCTCGGCACCACCCACGCTGACGTAGTTAAGCTCTTTCAGTCAGTTCCCATTGGCCAAAGTGTCACCCTGGTCTTGTGTCGTGGTTACCCATTGCCTTATGAGCCTGAGGACGCTGCTAACACCAACAACACCACAACCACCACCACCACCATCATCTCACCACTGGGCATCATGGAGCAGCGCCCCATCATGGTCAACGGCAGGACCGGCTACGAAAACTACCTTGAGTATCTCTCACGCACGGCGCGCTTTGTCACAGACCCCGGTCAGGATCAGGTCAACGCACAGCAGCAGCTTCTCACGCCTCATCCTGGGGACACTCACCTGGACGGCTCGCTTCCCGCCACCACCGGGACCACGCCTCCGGACAGCGTGTCCATGGCGTCCTCGGGACCCACCCAGGGGGAGCTGTTGACGTTGACTATGGTGAAGGGAGTGGACGGCTTCGGCTTCACAATAGCGGACAGTGCCACAGGTCAGCGCGTCAAGCAGGTGCTGGAGCCGCTGGGCTGCCCCGGCCTGGGCGAGGGCGACCTGATTGTGGAGATTAACAAACAGCCGGTTCAGGGATTCACACACACGCAGGTGGTGGAGCTGCTGAAGGAGTGTGCCGTAGGAGCGGAGACCAGTCTGGTGGTTCAAAGAGGAGGCACAGGTAAGATGGCTGGGCCTGTTCTTGGCCAAAGCCATAGATAATACACTACCATCACAGTGTTCTGTGATGGTGATGGTTTCCAAAACGTTTGTCTTCTCTGACAAGAAGCTCGGTTCTTTCGTTGGCAAATAGAAGGTCACTGGTATGTGTGGGAGGTCAGCTGGTACCACTTGTTTCAACATGTGGACCTGTGACCCACTGGTGGACATCATTTGGGGTTGGCTCCACGCGACAGTGGGCTGTTGTAAAGACAACTTTAGTAAAAATGCAGATTTTTTGTCTGAGCATCTCAGACCGTCTATAATGGAAAGCTATAAGTGACGTCTGATGATGAGATTGCAGTGGACAACAAGCAGAGGACTTATCTGTGACATCACTGTTGTCATTATTTTAATGTGTGAACACGAAAACACAGAGTAATAAGTTGATAAACTGCTGTTTGGTCCATTTGGTTGGAGGAATAAAGCGGCAAAAAGAGAGAGATCTCCTTAAAGCAAGGTCTCGGTCTTACATTCTAAAAAAATGAATAAAGCGGCAAAAAGAGAGAGATCTTCTTAAAGCAATGTCTCGGCCTTACGTTCTAAAAAAATAAGTTTAGTTGAAAAAAAAGTTTACTTTCTAATCATGTTTAGTTGAAAAAAAAGTTTACTTTTAAGTAGCGGTGAAGAATAGTAGATTTATCTTTTGTCCCTAAACTCTTGAAATGTTGTAAAACATTGATTCCTCGGATCCAGGATGTGGTTATGGTTGAATTGATCTGAGACGTTTTGGCAGTCGCTGCTCGTAGTTCTTGGTTCTTGCTCTTGGTACAGGCTGTCCACCAGAGCCAGCCCGGTGGACAGTCTCTGATGGACAACCGTCGGCTCAGCAGACGTGCTCGAATCTTTTTAATCTCTTTCTTTTCTGGTCTTTCTTCCTGTGCATCAGCTCTCAGCTTTTTCACCTTTGTCATCCTTTTTTTGTGCTACGGGAGCATGAATGTGTGACCCAGTTCCGAGACCACAGAAACCTATTATTCAGTTCTGCAGAACCCAGCAGTGCTCTGGCTAATGCACCGTTCAAGAATCTTCTCTCTCTCTTGGACGGATGGGACTTCACTCCGTTCACTGAGCCTAACTCTGTGCTTGTACTTCATAATCATTCATTTCCTTTGCTGAGTTACTCACTTCTTTTTTTCTGTAGTTTTTTTTCTAGTTATAGGGTCATATTTTATGTTATTTTTTAGCAACTATGTTTGATTTCCAGCTGGAGATGGAAGGCCTGGGATTAAAGGCTGTATGTTTCAGGCCACAGATGGCACCAAAGTGCCTTCTGCTCGCTGTTTTTCAAAATGTCACCATCGTAATCCTGACGTCGTGAGTCCCACGCACAGTTGTTCTTTGCAAAGTTGACAGTTAGACTTTTTTGTCCCCCGAGCTTCGTGTGTCTGCAGTACAGTGTGTCAGTGGTAAGTTGTGCAGACGGGCTGAATACTTCACACTTCTTCTAGAAGGTTTTAAGCCAAATGGTTTCTGTTCAGCATCTGTGTCTTTGACACTGGTAGAAAGACTCAGTGTTGCGTGTGCAGCTCATATGTCTGAACATAAGTTGAGTTGAAGTCTGCCTGGAAAATAAGGATGATGTCAAGATTGTGTTAGGCATCAAAGTCGGCGAAAAAGATGCCGAAAAAAAGGTTTTGATAAGATCTAGAGACAGTGTGGAGAGTTCTGGAAGGCCACACGATCTCTGTCTTTGTGACTTAACTCTTTTAAATGTTTTGGTTCACAATTAGATAAAAAGTCCTTAGTTGCCTGTTTTGAGATCAGATCTGATCCTGGCTTTTTTATGACTCTACTGATCTTTTTACAGCTTCCAAGTTACCACCGTATGACCAACATCGAGAAATACAGACCTACACTGTACAAAAGTTTAAAAAATATATATTTACCTAATTAATCAAATGAATGAACTCATTAATCAGACACACAATGAACAATGATGTTGCACTATAACTCGAAATGCAATTATTTTTATTAAGCCAACGCACATAGATACTGTAGAGAAAGTAAGAATAAGAATATGATTGTCCTGCATAGCACAGTTTGAGAACCACTGATCTGGATTATTCTCCATTATAACCAAGAGGCAGAACACTGAAACACCCGTCAAACCTGGAAACTGAGGATTTGGTTAGTTTTACTGAACAACTTTGGGTGAATTATGAACAACATTTGTGTTGGATTGTCAGGTCTCTTAAGCATCATGGTAGCAGTACGGCAAATTTGGAAGAGTTTCAACTCATGATATCAAACATAATCATGTACTGTTGTAATGATGTTTGAAGCAACAAAGAAAAGAGCCTTGAGAGGAAAGAAAATGAAAGTCCTTAAGGATGGAAAAAGCCCAAAAAGATAGAAGATGATGATGGTTAAATGCATCTCTGTGAACAAACAGCTCATCTACATACTAGAAAAACAAAATTTTTTGTTATCTTTTCAAATTCACATTTTCCTTTTTTTGTCTCAACAATACTTGTCAGATACTCGTCTTGGAGCTCCGTGGCGCAAAGCTAGTTACAGATTTGAGGTTCTTCGTGCTCGAGAGCCTAATGTCAAATCAAAACCTGAGGGAGTTCTAATTTTAGAAGAGTGCCACAGGGTGGCAGGCTTAATTTAACTCTTATATTCATGAAATGATCTGAGAAACATGTCCACCTTTACTGCACTTCATGCTACTGATTTATCCTGCGTACTGCACTCCGTGTTGAATACTGTTACATACCAATCATCCACCAACCGCCTGGTGCCACAGACACCGCTGAGACTCGCACTCACAAAGGTCAACAGCATCTACAGAATACATTTACCGTGATTTATTTCTTTTATTTGTTATCCGGATGCCTGTGTGTCTTTTTAAACAGCCGAGAGCCAACAAATATGAAAGGAAATCTCTTCAAACTGCCGCCGCCGCCGCCGTAGCATCGCCCGCCAAATAAACACACAGATTCGAGAGGTCAGATGTTCTCGTGTCACCATCCAGATCCACAGCAATCTGTCAACACACTCCTCACACACTGCCTTTGGAAGAACGTGGTGTCACTACGAAGCACTCCAACCTTCTGCTCGGGTTATTTAATCACAACAGAGCGGCAGAAAACGAACACCGAAATTATTGAATAAACCTGAGCTGGGCAACATTGAAAGTTTTCATCTGTGATAACTGTGTTTCATGGAAGTAACGCCACGCCGTGTTACCGTATTTTCCGGACTATAAGTCGCACTTTTTTTCATCCTTTGTAACTTATACTCAGATGCGACTTATAAATTAAAATATATATTTCACATGTTTGTTATTTTCACACTGATGGCCGCTAGAGGGCACTGGTGCGACTTATACTCCAGAGCAACCTAAATGTTTTTTTCTTCTTCATTACGCATTTGTCGGCTGGTGCGACTTATATAACAATTTATATAATTTCGACAATTTATATAATTTTTGAGAACAATGGCTTCACCTTATTTTCGTTTCTACAACATCAGCCTAAATTTTGACTTATACTTTCATACATTTTTCTCAACATTTTTCTGTGAAAACACAATCTTCCTGCTGTTATAGGGCAAACTTAACCATTTCTGTCATAAGTCCTAACCGTTGTACATACAGTAAGTACCTGTGTGATTCACCTACATGAACGCATTGGTAACATCATAATGTAGGACATAAAAATACATGGGGCAGCTCAAGCTGAGCGCCCGGTGAGCAGTGTGTGGGGACGGTGCTGAGCTCAGTGGAAGATATAACACATATAATAAAAGAAAAAGAGCATCAGAGTGTGAGAATCCCATCAGGAAAGTTATCACATTAGTCACTTCAGTGCATATAGCAGATCCATAGTCTGTATTACTTTGGGAGACATAATTGACTTTGTATAATTGAATAATCAATAATGAATAGTGTTGTTTGAAGTGCCGTACCAGCTCCTACCTGAGGGGACCGTGCGTGTCTGGCCTCGATGTAACAGAAAGCACAAATGAGCTTAATGTATTTTGCGCTTTTCCTTAATGAGTTTTTTTTTCTCATTACAGTTCTGGCTGCGTGAAGCTGTTTTGCAAAGAATCGTCAATTTAAGTAGATGTGACGATCAATGGCATCGACCGCCACAGCGTTACTCTGTGTATCTGCACATTTTAAATGGAGGCTCACTCACTTCCAAAACAACTGATTAAGTTTTTATCAATAATCGTGACAAGAACGATATTTCTCCAAATCTATAATCATATCTTGAAGCATTATTTTCCTTAATGAGCTAAAAAAAAAAAAATTTAAATCTTGATAGAGTAATGCTCCTGGTGTGTGTTGATCTGCAGGGATGCTGCCCTCTGTTGGTGGAAACATTAATCAGTGAATACTAGTCCCAGTAGAGGGCAGTAATGCAACTCTTCTACAGTGCATATCTGCTGTAAAAACCTAGAGGTGAAGAAAGGTATGACGGTTTAGCAGTAGGAACTTAACGTAACTTTCGAACTAATAAATCTCGTATATAATTTTTGTATATCTTATTTTACATTTTTACCTTATTTACATAAGGTATTATTTTACATTTTTACCTTATTTACATTGATGGAGGTGAACAGCGCCACGCAGCATCAGTGCTTTAGCTCCACAGACATCACGATTTAGCTTGTGTGTTTATTTCTCCCTAAACAAACTCCAGAAGCTAGGAAGCCATCACAGCGTCGTCAAGACAAATAGTTGTCGCGGCTAACAGCTGGAGGAAGTGTAATTTTATTTAAGCACCGATTAAATATTAATCCCTTTGTCAAGTGATCATTGTGCTGCACGGCGTGATCATGTGATGTCTGCTTCAGGGTCATTAGCAAGAGACAAAAAGTAACAGCAAAAAATGGAGAAGATACTGTTTGTGTTATAGACGTGACATCAGTTAAACCTCCGCCCTACACTGTGTGTGTTGGTTCAATTCCAGGCTTTTGTGGTCCTTAAAATATCTGAGGTAATATAATTAACACTAAATGAGCTCTAATGGCAGGGCAGGTTGGGTGATTAAAAAAAACCCTGCTGTACATGGACCATTTAAATGTCCCCTTTAACTGACGGATGACAAAACACAATGTAAAGCAGCTCAGTGGCAGCCATTACTGCCTTGATTACAGGATATTGTCAAGTGGATTCTGCCTGTCCCCCACCCCCCGTCCCCCAACATAAGGTGTTTAGAACATTGTCGCAATAATGATGTTTTTAAAAGAAAAAGAATAAACATTAAAACCCACATTTGATTTTTATGTTGTCCCCGAATCCTCTGTCACAATTCCCAAGGAGTTTACGTCACAAAGGAAGTCGTTAGAGATGACCGTCCATAAATGAAGCATTTTAATGATCAAACTTTACGGTCGATTAAGCAGCGTCACCTTGAAAAGATCTCTTCCATAATGGAATTAAAATATTGAAGCCGCTCTGTTTTGACTTTGACTCCACAGCCATTTTGGTCCAACAAATGGCCACTTTGTCCGTGGTCATTATGTGTATGGTTGTGTTGTATCCATTAGCATCTGTGTCATGGCTGTCACATCAGTGGAGACCCTGGGCTGTAATTAGCTGCACAGCCTCCTCCTTCATTTGGTTTCCACTGACACATTTCTATCCTCGCTCTCTCTCCTCTCCTCGCCCACTCCCTCATCCGAACCCTTGAGTGTGTTCAGGTTGAACACACACCGACACAACACACACACTCCCCTCTTCTCTCTCGTTCTGGCACATTTCCCACGGTTACAATTGCACCTCAACTCCACCTTTTCTTCGCCTTCATCGTAGGTTGTGAATCAGGCGTGCAGGTTAGCTCCTCACCTGATGGCTGCTCACATGCATGGAGGTGACCAGAGGCTGTGCACACCTCATGTGGGTGCCCCCCCCAGTGGAGCTCTGTGGAGAATAAATCAACAGAGGCTCCTGTGTGCCCTCTGAGGGAATCTAAGCAGACAGTGATACATTGTTTGTCAGTGTCTGCAGCACAGGCTCGTAAAGTTGGAAACAAGAAGCAACAAAGAAAAAGAAAAAAAAAGTAGAAGAGCAATGACCTGGGCTCACTGCTCCAGTCTCACAGGACTGTATATGATGTTATCCTGCTTCACACTATAGGCTGGGGAACCTTAGTGGGATGAATAAAAAAAGGATCAACTTAATCTGCTGGATTTAAAGAACCACAGAAATGTTTTTACATTTGGTCTTGTTACAGACGGACGGATGGATGGATGGATGGATGATAGACGGACGGACGGATGGATGGATGATGAGAGATTGATGGATGATGGATGATGGATGATGGATGATGGATGATGGATGATGGATGATGGATGATGGATGGATGGATAGATAGATAGATAGATAGATAGATAGATGGATGGATGGATGATAGATGGATGAATGGATGGTTGCATGAGAGATAGATGGATGGATTGACAGATGGATGGATGATGGATGATGGATGGATGGATGGATGATGAGAATAGATGGATGGATAGGTGGATGGATGGTTGGATGAGAGATAGATGATGGATAGGTGATAGATGATGGATAGATGGATGGATAGATGTATGGATGGATAGTTGGATGGATGGATGATGAATGGATGGATGGATGATGGATGATGGATGGATGGATAGTTGGATGGATGATGATAGATGGATGAATGGATGGTTGCATGAGAGATAGATGGGTGGATTGACAGATGGATGGATGATAGATAGATAGATTGATAGATAGATAGATAGATGGATGGATAGATGGATGAGAGATAGATGATCGATAGGTAGATGGATGGATGGATGAGAGATGGATGAGAGATGGATGGATGGATGGATGGATTTGTTTGTTAACAGTATGATGTCACAGGCACTGATAGACTTTGTTTTTGTCCTGTCCCAGCGTGTTGGCGTCCATTTTCCTCGTCGACTCCTCCTGCTGGTGTTACTCACCGTGTGATTGCAGGAGTTTGGTCAAACAAATGGTGCTGCTGTTGTTGTTGTTTCACCATTAACATCATGCATATTAAACTCTGGCCTGCACAGACAACATCTGGTGAATCAGTTCACTGCCATCTGAAGCTGCCTGCCTCTCTGATGAGGTGAACGATGAATATTCAAGGGGTGAAATGTTCATCGAATTCCAGTGTTTTCTCAGCCGCATTTAAATAATTCAGGGGCCGGAGTCAGCTTTCCTTTGTGAAACTGAAGAGGTTTGTGTGCAGCTCTCGCCGTCTCACTACTGACGTTCACCTTACCTTACCAGAAATTGTCAAGTACAATCAGCGTTCCATCCCTTTGGCTGGCTCATTTTTAGACCCACCACGTCACAGAGCTGAGTCACAGCTTACACATCAAACCTTTTTTTTTCTCCTATTTGTCATGTTGCTAAAACCTTGTTTAGAGGAGCATGCATCACAGCAGTCAGTGTCAAAAATAACAGAAAAATCTCTGCAGCCTTTAAGCAGAAAGTCTTTCTGGGAAAAAACATTTCTTTCTACCTTGAACTTAATC